ACATAAAAACTTAAATATATCGACTTCTTCGTCGGGCATAAAAAAGGAAAAAATAAGCATAAAATAAAAACTGTACAAAAAATCGATGAACTTCAATAGTAAAAATATCTTAATTTTCACATAAACATTAAGAATTAAAATCCACTACGAAAAAAAATCAGTTAATTAGAACGAAATTAAAACTATTCACCTTCCGGTAACAAAATGAGATCTTTGAGATATTAATATTGTCGAATATTAATGCATATAATGAACATTAGTTCAATCACATTTTTGGGATCTTAAAATTTGAATTTCTTGATTTAACGTTAAAATATCACACTTTATAAGACTTAGAAGTTTCAGTTGTTTGAAGGCATTAATATAATAAACTGTAACCATATAATATCTTTGATATATTAATTTAAGATCAAAAATATCGACTTTCTCGATGAACTTCAATGGTATAAAGTTTAAATACTAAAATTAATTATATACATTTTCATAAAAACTTTAAAATATCGACTTCTTCTTCGTCGAGCATAAAAAAGCAGAAAGTAAACATATAAGATAAAAAGTAAAAAAAAAAATCAATGAAGTATTAAAAAGATCTTCCTTTTCACACAAAAACTTAAAATTAAAATCCACTATGAAAAAAATGCAGTTAATAAGAAAGACATTCAAACTATTCGCCTTCCTGTTGCGAAGGTTTTTTTGCGGCATACTTCTTTTGCTTCTGCCTATTATGGCTGAGATGAACGCTGTTTTTTACCTCCTTTTCGAAATTGAGACGGCCTTTGAGTTTAAAAATATCTATGATAAATATAAAGTTATAAGTACCTCAAATTTCATAAGGAAAAATAAACCTACCAAATAAGATGTGGTCAACGAGCTTAAGTTTCATTAACGCTCTCTTTCCACACCTTCCATCCCAATTAAAATTTATTAACAATTCGTCCGAAAACATTTTTTTTATCGTCCCATCAATATTTCCAGACGCAGCGCCCAATGTGAATATGTAAGATATCTGCAAATAACAGAATATATTAATGCACATTATTGGTCCGTTATAAGAACACCTAGAGTATAGAAATAATGTAATTAACTCTATTTCGTTCATACCATTTCCTCTTTATATTCATTGCTTTGCAGTTTCTCCTCCACATCAAACAATGCGTCAATGGTTTTTAATGGGAGAACATCTGAAATTTCCAATTGGAACTCAGTAACAGCGCCCCCATTTATTCGACAGAATGACTGATGCACCTTTTTGATAAGCACTTTGCATTCTCGAAGAGTTTTTTGCTGAGCCACCACCTCGCATCGATCTGGCATCTGAAATATCAAGATTTATTTTGAAAAACGAAAATGACTTCTTAAATATGAATTGAGGACTTCAAAATCCTCTTTCGCAAAAACGTATACATAAAAAATCTTGAAAATGTAAGCTTAGTTTAGTATTTAAATTTTATTAACCGTATGTTTATTTCATTATGGGCTGATAATAATATACGAAAATGAGTAAACTGCTTACATTTTCGGTTATCTTCTTTTGCAAATCATCGACCTTAGCCTCCAGTTTGCTTTGTCTCTCCAAAATGGTGTTGCATAGACCTATAATCTGATAGCGTTTTCTTTTCTCGAAAAAAGGCTGCACTTATTCTGCCTTGTGTTAGCGCTGTCACATTTTCATGTTCTTTTCTCAGCCCTTTCCCAAGGCGTCGTATTCTATTCTCAGCAGGTTGCGCTCTGATCCGGCTAAAGTGCTGCCTTTTCTGCCCTCAAATAAACGTGAGGGTGAGAGTTGCATGGTTGATTTTTAATTTAATCTTGTAAAAATTCAAATATTTTCCCAATCAGAAATAAATGTTTTGCTTTAAAATTGTTAAAGACTAACAGGCCAAGTGAATAATACAG